TCGAGCCGGAGCCCTGGCAACCCGTTAAGTCTTCCGCGGCTCCGTATCGGCATTATATTATTATTACCCTATCATCATTCATTCCTAGTGTCCATTATCTCAGTTGAGATTATTTTTCAGATATTAAAGTACTTTTTTTTAATCAGCACAGTTCCCAATTCGTCTAATATAACGAAAAATGTCTGCAATGAAATAAAGGAAACTTGTAAAATGATTTTACTGAATTTTCTAAGGCTAGAAGAGGTATGTAATGGTACTTCAACTTAATACAATGACGTGTAATTTAGTAAGCTCCAGGGGTCAGAAAATCTCATTAAGGAACCAGATAAAAAGGTTGAAATTACCAAGAAATATTCTAGACAATAGCGACCAGTAGCCCCATTAAATTTTCGACTCCATTCAAATCATAATTTTCTTTTCATTAAATTAAAAAAAAACAAATCACCATAACATTTTCCCGCGTCCCAATTTTTTTACATTTAAAATAATGTACTCTGTGGCCGTGCCAAGTAGTGACGGTAGACTCGAATACTTTTCTCGCGGACTTACATAATTGCTGGATTGAAACTAAGGGACTGCACAAATGTGTGTGTCAAATGACAGAGGCCGGGCAGCAACGCTCACTGATAAACCAGTACTTTTTGAACTGTGATCTGTGATCAACAACAACGCTTGAAGAGATCAATCATCAAGATCATTGCATCCCTATCTTAAGTAGATGTAGCCTATAGTCCAGTAAAAAGACTATCACGACCCATGATAATACGGTAGTTGACAGGTAGTCAAATTCAATACTTTTATTGCAATCAAAAACGATACTTTTCTATGAATTTTGTATTGGATCGCAACTAATGACGTCATCATATTTCTGCGTCAAACAGCATATTTATTTCCTTTGAAAAATTAGCGTGAAAAAATCCAAAATGAGGTAAATCGTCAAATCAATGGATGAGAGTATGATTATTTTTTAATTATTTATTGCATTGAAAAGTTGAAACAATTTATTTTAAACCTAGGAAACTAGCCAATTATGTTGATTACAATTTACAAAATGAAAAATACACCAACATAATTATTGTTATCCCGCGACGCCATCTTTTTTTGGATTTAGAACATACTACTCGCTCGGTCCGGGAAATAAAACACTTTCCCATCACTATTGTTGTTGAAGTGTGAATGGAGCTAACTAGAATGGCGACCAACCCACGCTTCCTCGGTATGCATATGTATGAGCGATCAGAGAGCAAGAATCAACCTGATTGCTGATGATCTGATGAACTTAAAGGTTATTGGAATAGGTCGTGTATTTATAGGTTATTTTTAACAGTTGAATGGGCGGGAATTGTATTATTTACTAGCTCCTTCCACGCGGTTTCACACGCTCTGCTCAGCTCCTATTGGTCGTAGCGTGATATTTTAAAGCCTATAGCCACCCTCGATAAATGCGCTATCCAACACAAAAATAATTATTTAAATCAGACTTGTAGTTACGGAAATTAGCGCGTTCAAACAAATAAACAAAAAAAACGTTTATATAATAGTAAAAGGTTTATTTATAAACGCTTCATGCATAAGGTGTATATAAAGTGGATTTAATGCCGCAGGCATTTTCTCCCAGTCTGACCTTTGGGTGATGCAGAGAAGCAAGAAGCAAGCAACGATTTCATTCAGCAAATAGAAGATACACTAACATATTTTATAGATAAACATAAATAAATATAATTCTAATGTATATACCTACACACGAGTACAATACAATATATGTATATTATTATCTAGTTAGTTGTTGTTAATGAATTGTCGCGGAGAACCTAACAGGTAACCGGGGCTCCGGCTCGACGTGCAGGAGAAGGAACGGGGTGGTTTTTAGTTAGTATGAGTCTGACACTCCCTCCCACCTCACCCAGGCAGGAGCAGTCATTCGATGATTTTCCCCCCTTAAAAAAATGTTAATGAATTCACTACTCCTACTTTTCCTACTTTTTGCTAAAATATCAAATAACTTGTGGTAAAATTTTAAAGTTTAATAATAGTAAAGACTGCCTCATTGCTCGTGTAGGCAAAAGTGTGACTGGTGAGCCAATTTTAGCTTATAGTTAGCTTTTGGTATAGTTAGCATGGAATCGAGCAAAGCACTCGGACCACGGCAATACGTCACCCTGTCATTATAAGACTCAATAAAAAATGCGACCGTTGCCAAAGAAGAAAAAAAAAAAAAAAAAAAAATGCGACCTCTGCTAACTCCTAATCATAGTTAAACTAAATAAATCTACTATCCATTCTTTTAATAAATTACGTGACAAATATATTTGCTTTAAAATATAAAACAATAAATGTAAATTAAATGTCTAACTTTAATGTAGCCACCTCAAGTACGATATTTATTAGACAACTAAATTAATTAGATACTTTATTTGACTAGAGGTATAACACTAATTAAATTCTGAGGCTACATCACTATAATTTAATTTTAATTAATTTGCAAAATTTAATATCAAATACCGAATAATGAGTTTTTTATTTAAAAATCTACCTTACGTCACTCATTTCAAAGTGATTTTTAGAAAAATGTGTTTTCATTTGAGATATTATTTTTCTTTTACGACGATAGAACGGAACGTTTTTGTTTTAGGCCCGATTGTACCAACGCCAGTTAAATTTAATCTAAGGAATACGTTTGAATATTTGACAATTCTTCCATACTAGAAACTGTCAACTGTCAATTTTATTCTACAGTTAAGAATTAAATGATGATTGGGTACTTTCCTTAAATATTATAAATGATAAAGTGAGATTGTTTGTTTGTTTGTTTGTTCCACTATCACGCCGTAACTACTAAACCGATTGCTTTGATTTTTTGCAGACGTAAAGTTAAAAGTCCAGATTAAATAATAGGGTACTTTTTAACCATTTTAAATTTGATATTTCCGAGGGAAAACAAAAGTATTGGTATAGATGGCGCTGTGTGTATTGGTATATGTCACATAGGCTACTTTTTATCCTTTTGTGATGCGAGCGAAGCCGCGGGTAAAAGCTAGTAAAAATAAATTGTTTCGACTGTACAATACAATAAAATATAAATAAAATAGTCACACTTACATTCATTGATTTTATGACCAACATCATTTTAGTAGGTATTTTTCCAGCAAATTTTAAGAAATAAGTTTGCTGTTTGACGCTAAAAAAACGTGACATCACAATACACAAACTTTTTTTTTCCTTTTGGCAACGGAGTCTTCAATACAGTGTTGTTTACTATACTAAAATAATAATAACAACTAAGGTTGAATATTTATAACTTATTAATAAAAATATTTCTATGATTCGACTAAATTTAAACGAGTATCTTATATATATATAAAAGAAAGTTGTGTTAGTTACACTACTTATAACTCAAGAACGGCTACATCGATTTGGATGACAATTGGTGGAGAGATAGATTAGAACCCGGAGACGGACATAGGATACTTTTTCATCGACTTTTTTTTTACTTTTTCCGAAAATCACGAACGGGAACGGGAAAGAACGGGATTGCGCGTACGAAGTCGCGGGCAGAAGCTAGTTACTTATAAACATAACTATTGTAAATATTTTAGGTTTTTTAAACGTAGTTTATAAAAGAATTTTACTTTACTAGCGATCCACCCGGCTTCGCACAGGTGCAATATGCATGTATTATACATTAAAAGCTTCCCTATAATCATTCTATCTATTCTATCTAAAAAAACCGCATCAAATTCCGTTGCGTAATTTTAAAGATCTAAGCATACATAGGGACAAACAGACGGCGGATAGACTTCGTTTTATACTATGTAGTGATTGGTTCATTACTTATAACATCACTGCTTTCATCCAAACTCCTAAAGTGTTTGCGAACCGGTCAATCAGTCAAGTGACACTTTGGTTTCAGATCGCTGACGTAGTCGTTGAAGTCTCGAAAGTTTGCTACTTAATGAAAAGATGGATTTTAGGCTTTGTACTTTGACACTAATCTCATTAGTCAACTAGCTAGCCTATCACGACTTTTATTGCTCAAAGAATTAGGCAGAGATGTACAGACGTATTCACATTTTACTGCCTCGTTGGCCGAGTGGTCGCAAGTGCGACTACCGGGCAAGGGGTCTCGGTTTCTATTCCCGGGTCGGGCAAAGTATTACTGGGTTTTTAAAAAAAATCTCAGTAGTAGCACGGAGTCTGGAATTGTGTCCGGTATATGGCAATAGGCTGACCCCCTATTACATGGGACTCATAACATAGATAGTGAAAAGTGGGTGTTAATTCTGTGTGCACCTCTGCCTACCCCTTCGGGGATAAAAGGCGTGAGGTTATGTATGTCTTTGATAGAATTTCATTCCACTTTATCTTTAAAGCATTAGATTCCACATTAGTTGAAAGCTGACAGTTTCGAGTAGCTTGACTTTTTTTTTCATTAACGGGGGGAAACCTTCAAAAAGCGCCTAGCTTATGGGGAAAAGGGATAGGGAAGTGTGGGGTTTTTACCTCACTAAAACCTCCCCGGTAGCCACCATTTCCATTCCATTTCACCACCGTACCACCAGACGAACGGCGGGGCGCCACCCTTATATGGTGGACATTCCACCCATTCGCACGAAGCGTTTCGCGTCAAGCTTCCTCATGCGAACCGCTAAGGAATGGAATTCCTTGCCAGAGTCTGTGTTTTCCGTCAAATATGACTTGGGTGTCTTCAAGTCCCGAGTGAACAGGTTGCTCATAGGTAGGCGTGCTCCATCGTCCGCCACATCATCGCTTACCATCAGGCGAGATGGTGGTCAAACGTCGACCTATAAAGTGTAAAAAAAAAATTCTCACCTAAAGGAGGCCCCGGATCCTCTTAGTAGCTTGGCCTGCTGGTGTCTGTATAATTTCCGTTGGTACTACGCGGCTCATGTAATAGGGGATGAGTCTGTTGTCATATACCGGGCTCGAAATGAGGCGACTCATTTCTAAATGTCCGATTTTAACGTACACTATTGATTTACAGGTCACAATTGGTTGGAAACCATGGTGGAGCTTCCTTCAGGAGTGGGCGAGGAGGAAGAGCATCACCACACGTGGACCACTGGCAACGTGAGTAAACACTTCTTCAAGTACCAAATAAATGTTTTATCAAATTAATTAGTTAAGTTAGACTAGTTTCGAACCACACACGGGGCCTATAATTATGAGCAGTATACGCGACGCTCATCGCGTCAATTTTAGTGCATGCTGCTCTGAAAATATAAATAGACAACGTTATGAACACTAAAATAAAGCCTTCTTTATCTTATGACTATACTGACTGACTGACTATCAACGGCTTCCTTGAAATGGTATAACTCATCACAGTATAGCACAGAACAAAAGCTTACTACTCGCCAGCAAAATCATTTGTAAAGACAGTCGCATAACTTCTGCAGGCATCCTTTGTATGAAGTGAAATAATGGAAGGTGCACACAGCACCAAAGTTACACCATGTCATTGTAGACACGGCTTTATATCAAGTTATGAACAACCAGTATAAACTGATCGTGGAATGTGTGGGACAATGATATAAAGTGAGTTCATTATAAACTGGTTTTTAAAGCTCCATGTGTTTGGCCGGCCACTTTGCAACAGTGTAACCGTTAATTCAAAGTTATGAGTATTTTGTCGGTTACAGACTTTGATTACCATGTTCCTAGAGTAGAAATAGTCGTATCTCGTTTGTTTATAACATTTTCAGGTTGGTTGCTCCTTAGTGTATCTGCCGACTGCCTCGTTGGCCGAGTGGTCGCAAGTGCGACTGCCGGGCAAGGGGTCTCGGGTTCGATTCCCGGGTCGGGTGAAGTATTATTGGGTTTTTAAAAATCTCAGTAGTAGCACGGTGTCTGGAAATGTGCCCGGTATATGGCAATAGGCTCACCCCCTATTACATGGGACTCATAACATAAATAGTAAAAAGTGGGTATTACATTGTACAGTGGCATAATGTACACCTCTGCATACCCCTTCGGGGATAAAAAGCGTGATGTTATGTTGTTTTATCTATCTTAGTAAGTCACTAAGCAACCAAATGTCGCCACTTAACAAATGGAGCATAGGACATTTCATTATATTAAGTGGCTGACTGACACTTAACCGATTTTATTTATTAGATGTACTTATATAACTTTTCTTGTTACACTAGATTAGACATATAAGTATTTGATAGTAAGTGGAGATCATAAAATGTTGTTTGTCGTGCATTGGTAGAGTAGAAAGAAATGTCATGTGTCTGTGATATTGTATGTTGGTGGTGGGTTCGAAACCCGGCAAGTACCAATGTGTTTTTTTTCCGAGTTATAATATGTACTTTCTAAGAATATTTAGACGCCACTGACAAACGGTGAAGGAAAACGTTGTGAGGGAACCTGGACTAATCATTTCTAATTATATGTTTGAAATCGCCAACCCGCATTGAGCAAGCGTGCTCAGCAACTAAAACAAGTGAAACAAGTGAATTTATTTCTGCAAATAGGCTACAAGGCCTAAGCCTATTTTACATTTTACACGTTAATTTTATCAAGCGAACGATGAGGTCGACATTTCCTAACTGACTACTCTGAGAAGAAATGCCGAAACAAACTCAGAGGTCTGTCTCCTTTCAGCAGTGAGCATTTATAGACTGTTTCATCACATTCGATTTTCAAGATTAAGCGTTATTTTTTAAGTAATCTAATAACAGTGTGTCCGTGTTGTAAGTATTTCTTCTACTGATTAAGCTTACAGAATAACTTGTCAATAAAAATCTCAACATCATAATTACATAACATAACAACACGCCTTTCTTCCCCGAAGGGGTAGGCAGAGGTGTACATTATGACACTTAATTCCACTGTACCATGTAACACCCACTTTTCAGTATTTTATGTTATGAGTTCCATGTAATAGGGGGTGAAGCTATGGCTTATACCGGGCACAATTCCAAACTCCGTGCTACTGAGAATATTTTAAAAACCCAGTAATACTTTGCCCGACCCGAGAATCGAACCAATCAGCCAACGAGGCAGTCATCTTTATTAAATTAACATACGTAATTTTACCGTTAAGTGAAGGGAATACATAAGGCTTATCTACTCCAAAAACCAAAAAGAGATCCCTACACAGATCAGGCGCAGTAGTACAGATAAAACTATCTAAACTATTTTGCCAAAGAAAACAAAATACAAGTAATTTATTCTTTTAAACAGCCATTCATTCACATCAAATTATCTTCTACAAAAACTTCAAGTCAAACTGTTTAGTTTGACTCATTATATACAAATAAATTACGTCATGTCATAGAACCACGATAAACTAAACTAAGTCCATGCTTTTAAAAGTGTTTAAACAAAAGTTTGTGTGCTAGACAGACAGACAGACAGACAGACAGACCAGACTGAACGTCGCCATCTTATTTATTTGTTGGACAGAGTTATGTTTGCAGTTTTAATATCAGTTAAGTTTACTTTAAACTGTCTTCAAACAAGTTCGTGTTGTTGTGTGTTAATGTTTCTATTTTTTGGGAATAAGAAATTTGAGATTGAATTGAATTGAATTGAATTTGATTCTGGGATTGGAGAAGCGGGGGGAATTGGGCCTCCAATTACTTAACTGCCGGTGTTACTTAATGCATTATATTTGTAATTTTAATATTTTTCCAGCATATTTTTAAGAAATAGGTACGCTGTTTGTCGCTAAAAATACGTGACGTCACAATACACAATCTCCTACAAAATTCATAGAAAACTGTCGTTTTTGACAGTTCGACAAAAGTATTGAATTTGACTAGTGTGCAAGTACCCAATTGCTTCTCCCGGCCGGATGAGACGGGAGGGAATGTCAAACTCTCACTGACTAAAAACCACCACGTTCCTACTCCTGCACTTCGAGCCGGAGCCACGGTAACCCGTTAGTTCCTCCGCGGCTCCGTACTCGTAGGTGCATTCATATATACAAATCTTGACATACACACACCCATTGTAGTTTTCGTTCCTAGTCTGTATGTAACACAAAACAAATATTCCTTTGCTCAATGCACATATCTTACACTAACTTTACTCTAAAATAAACATTAATACATTATCTGACACGATTTTGATTCTGCAACAGGATAATACGTAAATTCATCAAAATGTCTTGGACATAATGATGAACAGAGTTGATAATCCGGCGGTCTATTGTCCCTGGTGTGGCCTGGTTTATTAAACGGAGGGTCAACACGGCGCGTTCTATTTGCTGGTCGACTTAATAAGGGATCGCCTGACTCTGCACTAGTGATATTTGTATACTCGTTGTATTTGTGAGCATATTGCTATAGTGACAAAATATTGACCTATATGCATAAAGAAATAAGGTTTCTTTTGATTATGTACAGAAGCAACATTGAGCTTGTTTATGGTGGACTCTTAATAATTTGTCTTATAAAACGACATTTTAAGTCTATTACTAGGCATGTCGATTCCGATTTCGACTAACGGCATGGCTGCCTCGTTGGTCGAGTGGTCGCAATTGCGACTGCCAGGCAAGGGGTCTCGGGTTCGATTCCCGGGTCGGCCAAAGTATTACTGGGTTTAAAAAAAAATCTCAGTAGTAGCACGGAGTCTGGAACTGTGTCCGGTATATGTCAATAGGCTCACCCCGTATTACGTGGGACTCAAAACATAAATAGTGAAAAGTGAGTGTTACATTGTACAGTGGTATAATGTGCACCTCTGCCTACCCCTTCTTTTTTTCTTTGAGGACATGTCTAGTCTACGTCTTTTTACATTCACTTGTCACACAGGCTAATAATACGCAAGATACGCTCAAAGTAAGCCCATTTACCTCTCCCCCCCCCTTCCCCAATCTCCCCAATCCCTGACTACCCAACGATCCTCAAACTTCTAATCCCCAAACGGCTGGTAATGCACTTGTAACGCCTCTTGTTTTCCAGGTGAAACCGATTACTTACCATCAGGTGATCTGTATGCTCGTTTACCGGCTTATGCTATAAAAAACTAACCCAACCCAACGCTGGAAGCAAATGCACGTTAAGTACCTATGTTAAACATAACTTAACAGCCTTAACTCTTGGAAGACGTCAAGTTAAGACCTCCTTAGTAAGTTAATCTCAAAAAATGAATTAACCCTTACAGCTTCACTTAAATCAAACTGGCGCTAAAACAAACAAATTGGTGAATCACCTAAATTATTCCCAACCTAATTACACCTACAGCCTACCTTTCCAAAATTGTTCATTGAATTTGCAAGAATCGTTTTGAATAAACAAACAAATTTTAATCGGATTACCATCGGCAACGATTACGGCCATTAAAGGGATTCACTAAACAAATCTCTATTCTTTACTGAGCAAGAGAGGCTTAGTGACGTCATCCCTACGTCAGAACGTCAGGAGTTCTGACTTTTATCAGACCTTTGATTACGTAACGGCACAAAGAATACTAACGAGGTGCAAGTCACGGTGTCGAATGCCAATGGTCACACTTTGATAGCAGCATTCACAAGGCTTTTTGCGTATTCTATACAATTTACGTACGTATTTCTAAATTTAGCCGATTGGTTGATCTTAACAAAGGTTTTGCACCTAACCCTGTAGGTCAAAATAATAACATACTCGACAAGTCAGTTCTCGAAGTCTTGATTCCCGCCAGTACTAAAACTAGTCTATAGACTTATTGAAATCTCAGTACAATCTAAACTTGAAAAAGACGTTGTACCAACAGGGTCACATCGGTACCTACATATGTACGTTAATTAAAGGAAAAATACCGCTTTAGGACCTCCGATCGATCGATTACCGATCCCGAAAATCCAGGTAAGCCATACCCGATATTTAAAGGGTTTTTTAAAAGGCTAATGACGTTCCGTGAGCTTCTTCAAAACCTCTGCGATCAAATGTGATTGTAGGTAGGTACTGCCGACAAATTCAGTTCTTGACCATCTAAGGTCGATTTTTGTTTGTGTCTGACACACACTCATGTCTACCATTGGACTCGTCCACCTATAGGCAAAGTGTTTTTAAAAGTTTCGGCTAAGTAAGCTATACAATTTTGAAATAATATGTTTCTTTGATCATCATGGCGGGGCA